AGTTGAAGTCCATGTATCTTAAAGTTGCTAAGGTTGAGAAACACTGTTTTAAGGGCTACGAATTCCTCAAGAGCTGGGGAAAGACTAACTCATCTCCCACCTGGCAAAGGGTGTGGATAGCAAAGTTGAGAAGAACATATTGCTTTCCCCACCTCCACTCCTTCAGAGATGTCTTCAGGAAGGGAGATGGGAAAGGGACATTAGAGCCCTTTCAGCTCCAGATCAATAGTCTCACCAGTTCCAAACTTCCAGAGAGATTCTTTCTAAAGGACAATCAATAATGCCAGAAGATTTCACCTGAGTGTCAAGCCAGTTAGATAACTAATTTTTTTGCATGTTGTATCAATGCGCCTGTGCACCCCTGGCGTTCCAGTGCTGGGACTAAGAAATGTTGTGTGTGTTTTTTTAAAGCTCAGAGTAAAAAGAGCACCAACGAAGATGGGGGTGGGGGAGAGAAAAGGAAATTGAGATTGGCAGAAACATCCATCTGTACATTTTCTTTCAACTACGTTCCTTGGTGCTCCAGCCCAGATCCCTATCACGCATCCACCCCTGCGATGGACAGCAAATTTGTGTAGCTCAGGGCTGGCATCTTGCATTTCTGAAATTTTCCAAGTTTGGTTTTTGGATTGCAGACATTTCATTACCTGACTAGGTGATATCATCAGAGCAGGGGTTGGGGAGAAGCTGGGAGAACGTCAACAGTGTAACATTTCAAGCCTACCTCTCGGTGGAAGCGGATTCTACTCTCCTGTTATGACGGAGAAGACTCGAGCTGCAGGGATCAGCACAAACAACCAGCCAACCCCCCCATCACATCCCCAGGAAAGGAAAGCCTCACCTGGCGAGGACTTAATTGGCTCATCCAGGATGAGCTTTCCATGGCAACTGCCCACTCAAGTGCACTAACAAGGTTAATCCCAAGCAACCAATCAATCAAGATGTCCCAGCAATTTATTCATAGAAGACCACCACCCCCTGCAAAAAAACCCTGACTGCATTGCTTTCTTCTCCAAAGCTCCTGATCACAAAATACTCATTTTTCCAAAGACAACCTGATGAGGTGTGTTCATTCCTGTGGTGTGTATTCATTCATTCATTCATTCATTCATTCATTCATTCTCTCCACTTTGGGAGAACAGCTCAA